GCACGGTCCATCCTGGGCACTGAACGAGGCAGGGCCCTGTGCGGGAAACTGGTGTGCGATCACGGCATAATGCACACGCACAAGGGGACTGCATGAAGTTCACATGGGCCCATCAGTCTGGGGGGAAGGAAGAAGCAGACCGTACGAGGGGCAGGGGGTCTGGGAAAGACCTCAGGCGGGACGTGAGCCTTTTATCAGCCCAGGGCAGGTGGACAGTGGTTGCATTATTGCTTTGTTTGAGTCTCTGATCTCTCCGAGGGGAGGACGGCTCCGAGCCCAGGAACCGAGCAGGGATGGCAGAAGAGGCAAGAGTGACAAAAGGGGGCAGAGCCAGAGGTGTTTTGAGTGACGACGTGGGCAGTAACAAATGGGGGGGAGGGGTGATCAGCCCAGGAGAGTGTTTGGAGGTACCCTGAGGGGAGGGGAAACTGAGGCTGGGAACCTGCAGGGTACCTTCCTGCCACAAGAGGGCACTGGAAGAGGCCTGGCTTATTACACCCACCTGCACTGACTTCAGTGTTGGGCCCCACAAGAAGAGTGTACCAAGTAATCAAAAATCAGCATAGTTCCCCCCCATCCCTGGCTCTTTCTATCACCCCCCCTCCCTGAGCCCTGCACAAGTTTGAGGGTGTGCCGGGAGAGTGTCGCCTAGTGATCAGAGCAAGGTGCGGGTGGACTCCTGGGTTCTGTTCCCAACTCTGCTGCTAACTTTCCATGTGACCTGGGGGGGGACGTATTCCTGGATTATTTCATCACCAGACATAATCTTTAATTCCTGGAGACTCCAGGACAATCCTGGAGGGTTGGCAGCCCCTGGCGTGACCCTGTCCAAGTCAGTCAGCTCCTCTGTAAGACTAGAATAGCGATATGGAGCTGCCTCACAGGGGTGTCTGCCACGCCCATTGCAGCCCTTCATTGGAAGGCACTGGAGCAACTGGAAGTCTTTCAATAGACGTCCACACCGCTGCTCTCCAGTGTATGGAATCCGAACGGCTGTTAACTGAGATCCCAGAAAGGCATCGTGAGCTCTCCCAGCGAGAGGGTCTGAGTTCTGTCACTGCCCCCATACAAAGTTGCAAGGGGAGCGTGGGGGGGATGAGTAGCTGAGTGACAACCACCACGCCCCATGTCACTAACGATCTGCGATCGTACGAATGAGACCGTTATTTTTAGGCGCCTCTTGGTGGTTCTTATAAATCTAAAGAAATAACAAATATGATTAATAACTGAATGGGTGAGACACGAATCACGTGTGCTTTTCCTTTGCCCTCCCCGGCCCTGGTGTGTTCCTCACCTCTCCAGGAGACAGACTCGAGGGCTGTGCGTACAAAGGTACAAGACACGGGCGTAAGGCATACAGCTCTGTTTGTAAGGTGGGTGACTCCTGGACAAGTCTGGCCAGGGCTGGCTGAGGAAGAAGGGGTGGGACTGGGGGCTCTTCTATTACCGGATCAGCTGGGCCCCGGCCACGTGACCGGACAAACAAACAGAGGGGCCTGGGGGGCACCATGTCCATTTATCATGAAGCTCTGAAATAGGAAACCACCACTGAGGAACTCAGGCAGTACCAACAGCACAGAACAAAAGCCGCTCTGGAAATTCATACTCCTTTGCCATCGCTGACTGTTTTAAAATCAAGGTGGGATGTTTGTGTAAATGCTCTGCTCCAGGAATTACTGTGGGGCAGGTCCCTGGCCTGGGCTCTACAGGAGGTCAGACTAGATGATCACAGTGGTCCTGTCTCACCTTGGAATCTATGTATTATATGCCTGACCATCCCTACATGCTCTTGAACGCATATGGCCCATATAAAAAACACGGCAGACTCTAATCACCTGTAGCTATTTAAGCTCTTCCTAGAGTTTCATACTGAGCATTAGCACTAAGGGCTAACAATGAATGACACAGGCAGAAAGACGTGTGTGAGAGAGAGAGACTGCCCTCTGTTGGCGGGAAGCAGATCTGCTCAATTGTGTGTCATAGGCCCTATGCTGCTAGCACTAATGGTGAGTTTCCTTCAGCCTGAGTGGTAGGAATGATGTTGGAGTAGGAGGGTCTCGGTTCTAACCCCACTGTTGGTGTGACGGTCTAAGTTGCAGCAGAATGACACTGATGCAGTTCCTAGGTAGGGTGACCAGATGTCCCGATTTTATAGGGACAATCCCAATATTTGGGGCTTTTTTTTATACGGGCTCCTATTACCCCCCACCCACTGTCCTGATTTTTCATGCTTGCTGTCTGGTCACCCTATTCCTAGGCAGCCACAGATTTGTTACAGTTCTGCTAGCCCCGTTCATCTGCTGAGCTTGTGGTGTGGACAAAGGCAGCTCCACCGAGCGCTCTGGGGCAGGCGCTGATAGCTGTTTTACAGGTGAGAAACTGAGGCCCAGAGAAGCCAAGGTTGCTATTTTTAAAAGTGGCCACTCATTTTAAATGCCGGACTCAGACCCCTCAGGCCTGATTTTCAGAGATGCTGAGCGCCCAGAATCTAAGGCCCATCACCTCTGCCAACCGGTCCTTAGGTGTCTGGGTACCAGACACTGAGTCAGTGACAGAGCCAGGAATAGAACCCAGGAGTCCTGACACCCCATCCTAGCGCACGGTCAGTAAAGAGCAGCACACCCCAGAAACGGGGTGGCCTACAGCTGGTTTATCTCCTGTCCACAGAGAAACAGTTGCACAGGAACTGAAGATTCGCTTCTGATTGTTCACCATCTGCATGATATTAGAGTCAGCCAAGATCTTTGCCAGGGCCCCAAAGAAGCAGAGGGGAGGGGGGCTGAAAAATCCCATTCACCTGTGAAGATCGGGGCTCAGATTCAGTGCCCACCCCACAGTGATGTTGCTTCAATGCAATCCATGCTGGACACTTGTCATTGTCACCAAACTGCTGTGCAATTATCCTGGTGCATAATGCTTCCGGACAAGCCCGGGAACAGCAGGGGTTGCTGCTGGTCTGGACGAAGGTGTGTCAAGAGACCTGTAGGGGTGTCCCAGGACTGGGCTAGCAGGGATGAGGTTGGTCAGGAGGGCAGAGGTGGATTAGCAGAGCTGGGCTGGGCTCCCAGGATTGGGACCGCAGAGTGGGCTGCGAGTGGGCAGTGTAGGCAGCGGTGCAGGGGGAAGCTCGGACAGTACCTGCCTGCAGCCTGCCTTGCTTAGACAACACCATCAGACTCACAGTTTCAAGATCGCTCATAGATTTAAAAGACCCTCCCAGCCTGACCCGTGCAGACACTTAAGGAGACTGACTTCTGCAATCTCCTGGTGACCTGAAATGTTACAGCAGCGATGGGCAGCATGCATGATGCACAGTGCTCCTTAGTCTGTGCAGAAAGTCATGAAATCTTGGGGGGGGGGGCAGCCCCCCCCATACAGCGCCTATCTGACCACCCGTGTGCAACGCAGATTCTGTAGTTTCAGTCCATCTCTTTGGACTCCTGTCCTGATTCTAGTGCCATCAGCTTGTGAAGCATGTTTCTCCCTGTGGTATGAAGCTTTGGTTCGTGCTTGCCTAGCCCTGCCCAGGCCTCAAGCAGTTATGAGACTCATTATCTGTCCCAGAGTGGGACAAAGCAGATCCGAGATCCACAACGGTCACAGGGCAGTAGTGGCCCGTGGGCTTCAATCAGATTCTCAGAACAGAGCAGGGCCCATTCCTTAAAGATAATTCTCTTACTGTTCTATAGTGTGCTTCAGACAAAACATATACCATCCATATGGGACTGACCCCATCCACCACTGAAATGCAGGTGCCTCTGGGGTGGTGCATAACAACTATTTACCAGCGCACACCAAGGAGAAGAAATGAAAACGACATCCCAGTGAAACGGCAGGGGAGTTGGGGAGGTAGAATCTATGGGACGGGGGATTGTTTAGTGGTGCACACATGGGCCCTACCAGTCAGGAGTGCACAGCCCTGTTCATACTTCTAGTGCCACTAACTCACTGTGAACGTGAGCAAGTCGCTCCGTCTCTCGCTGGCCTAGCTTTCCCCCTCTGTGAAACACGGATGACAAGCCTTTCCTGCCTGGCCTGGGGCTGTGGGGATTCTGGGGGTAACGTTTGTAAAACACCCAGCAACCCCCTGAGGAAAGGTGTTGTATGAGTACAAACTATTCCTATCGTAGCAGCCCAAACAGCCGAGGGCTGGGGGGAATCACTGTATGGAGAAAGTGCCAGGGGAGGATATTCAACGGCCACAAGTGGACAGAATCTTGGTTTTATGTCTCATCCACAAGACGAATGGAAGAAGTAACCACTCCTTCCCAGGCCACCACAATGGCTCAGGTTGTGTTAGAGGGAGGGGAAATGGCAGATTGACATTTGGAGATTAAAAAGTTTGCCTTGTTAAGGAAGGAAGGAAGGATAGATAGATAGATGGGTTAGGATATGGGGGGGGGTCTGGGAATGGATGGATAGATAGAAGGGATGGATGGATAAATAGAAGAGGTGTATTGGGTAGGTGACTAGATAGAGGGGCTGTGGGAATGGATGGAAGGGATAGATGGGGATGGAAAGATGGATGGATAAATGGAAGGGGTATGGGGAAGGCGAATAGACAGATAGAGGGGCTGTGGGAA